GAGCAACATACATAACTCCAAGAATACTGAATTATGAAGATCCCGATGTTTGGAAGACAAAGCAGGGGCTCGTTGTGCAGAAGCATAGCCTACACATAACAGCATCACAGAATGCTTAAGGTTGGAAGGGACCTCTAGAGGTCATCTAGTCCAACCCCCCTGCACACGCAGGGTCACCTAGAGCACGTGGCACAGGACTGCGTCCAAGTGGGTTTTGAAGATGTCCAGAGAAGGAGGCTCCACAACATCAGGAGGAGTCACCACTTTCAGTTCGCATCTCCGTCACTGTCAGGGCTCTAGTCTCTTGAGGAGGGCTCAGACCATTCTTTCAAACTTGCTACCTGTGTAGAATAGATCTTAGGACAACAGAGGCTCCCTTGTCTGGTCATTTTTTTGCTTCCTGGCTATACTGAAGCTATAACTGGCTTCCTTACCAGCACGGCTGGCTCACGCTGGCAAGTGCCAGAGGCTGCATCAGACAGCAGCTGGTGACTACCACAGCCATCCTCAGCACTAGCAATGCTGGGCAGGGGAATTATTTTTAAAAATGCAACCACTTAATTGCGAAGTGAGGGTCTTTTCTTGAGTCTTCCATGCCCACAGGGCCAGTGAGGAGTCAAGGAGAGCATGCAGGTGATTCATAGGTCCTGGGAGCGCCTTCCTGTCCAGGAATTAACAACGAGCTGCAGCTGTGCTGAAATACTCTGTGTTGCCAAGCACACCTGATGGAGAGCCTCTGAAAGCAGGTCTCACAGGGGGACTTCATTAAAGTCAAACTGAGCCAGCCCTCTCAGCTTGCAGTCCTCTCTGCATGCTAGACCACTAGGGCTGTTCCACCTTACTGCTTTGTCTATCCTAAACTTAACTGCACTTGTACTTACAAAGAAAAGGCAGAGTCACCATATGGGTGTAATTCAGCTCTTTCAACCCTCAGACATTACATTTCCATGCAAGAAAAAGAGATCTCCTCCACTCAGCCTAGCCACTGTGACATTTTCTAATGCATGTATCCTGCACTGAATTCATATATTGACTCTGTTACAAAAGATATGCCACATATTCCAACATGTTCTCTATATATCCAGAGATGCTCTCCACTATATGCTTGTTTGTTTAAAAAGAAAAAAAAAAAAAAAAGAAAATGTTTCCTTTTGACATTCATCAAATGGCTGGGAAGAGAGGATGGACACTGAGTTAATCCACTTATAGCATTACTGTGTGTTTGTAAGCTCACAAAAATTTGGAGAAAAAAAAGGGAGAGATAGAAAAGGGTATCTGAAACATTTTAAATAAATCAAAATAATGACCTAGGTGGTAGAAACAGGGATTTTCCAGAAAAAAAAAAAGTCATTAGTGATATTCATACATGACCTAGCTTGTTCAGGGAGCACAGGTAAAGCAACAGGCCCATGGTGAGATATTTATCAATGATATTTATGTCCATGCTCATCTCCAGCATGCAGGAAGAGAAACACTTCTGTCATGTCTCTGAGTAATGGTAAAACCAGGAAATAACATGGATGCTGTCATGGTTGGTCCCTACAAGAGATTATCGTCACAGCAGGGAGATCGGGCAGGGAGGATTACTCACCTAAGCAAGGCTACCCGGAAAACTTCTGCAAAAGGAATACAGCAGGGTACAGACTAATCTCAAGTTCTTAGCAGGCAAAATTCGTATTTGCAGCATATATCTCTGCTCTACTGGCAACAGTATGGAACTTGGAAAGCTTGTGAACAAGCTTATTGCTTTTTTCACACTGCATTACACTGTATTAATCTCTGCAGCTGCCAACAGAGAAGACCTTTGCCTACATCAACCCCTCAAACATGGTTTATGTACTGAACTAAATCTATTCCTGTGGGAACAGCAGCCATTAAGCAGCCGCTGATATGACTGGAAACAAATTCCATTCTTAAAACAAAAGGAAAAGGAAAAAAAATCACTTAAGAGTAAAAAGCCAAGTAATAATTAAAAAAAGAATTAATTTTCAATCAATTAGTATTTTCCACGCATGAGCCACATTAGGGCCTGTCTGTCTGAATATAAATGAGAATGAAGGGTCTTCCAGATCAAGAGGAGAAATTATCCCTGACACGGAATTCAGAAGTCACTGCAGAATTTATTTCATTATGCTATGGAAAGCACAAGATCCTGCTCAGAATTACAATGGTTGCCTCGTAGGCTGAGAAAATGACTGGCAGCAAGTTATCATCCTCAGGAGCTTCTGTAATTTCGATGCTGCTCAGCATTACAGACTGTAACATCCAGTCTGCCTCAAATCCAGCAGTAGTATCCAAGCCACTCGGTATATGGTATATTACTGAAGAAATAGGGGAGAGCTTAATTGCCACCAGACCATCAGTCCTATCAGTAGTAATGATTGCTGAAACCTGAACTCTGCTGTGAAAACTGAGCCTGCAGAATTTTCAGCCAAAATGAGCCTTTTAAGAGCAGGAATATTACACCGAAGTCTCTCTGCTGCATATGCCACATCTTCATTAAGGTCTGTGTAACACCCTGCAGAACAAAACTCTGATCCTAACAGCTGCTTCGAAAGATGCTAATATAAATATTTAATTTCAAGAAGGACCACAGGAGATAATTTATTCCAGTTTTAAAGTTTCTAGAAATACTCAAGCTCAGTATTAGCTGTTTGCAGTCTGCTACATGCACGTTGTATTTTATTTAGGCACTGGCACCCATTATTAACCATGCCACACTGTGAGCTACCATACGCAATGTCATGCCCACATGCCACGCAGCGGCGACTGGTATTGCACCAGGCCACATTCTTAGCTGCCTTGCTTGTATCCAACAGGAAAATGGAGGTTCTCATGAAATCAGGGATCCACCTAGCAATTTAAATCTATGACCCTACCACAAGGAGTTAATGAAACAGTACTTAGAATTAACTGTATTCTTTTTTTTAAAAAAAAAAGTGCTAGAAAAATGATAACTTTTTTTGGCAGAAACATTGAAGTAAATCATAACCATGTAATGGTATGTATAGATACATGAAGAATATAACATGGTCCATGTGGACAGAGACAGGGATTCAGAGCAAAAGTGCCAGACAAATCAAGTCGTAGTCACACTTTATATATTGGTCAAAAAAAAAAAAAGGCATTTGCATTTCACCAGTGTTTAGTGTTTCACCAGTGAGTTGTGCAAGGTACTGAGCAAACACACACAGCTGCTTCCTTCTTTCTTACCAATACAAGTCCAAAGAACTGCAAGTGGTAAATAAGGCTGTTAAACCACCCCTGTAGTCAACGTAATGATGCCAGCAAGGAGCAGAGCAGAGATCACATGAACAGGTTCCTTCAGCCCGCTCCGCGGGTCTCCACCACCCCCTGCACTCACCTGTATGCTCCAGAGCAGGAAACCCGGATTTTTACACCACAACCCCAACAAATGGAAGCAGCCCTGCAACTTCCTGTGTTTTAAAAAATATAATGAAAACTGCAACTTTGCCAGCACTCCCCGCAAAGGGCAGCAGGGATGCTGTGATGAAGGAATCGGCGCCTCTTCCTGGCTCCCTCCCTCTCTCCCAAGGCCAGAGGGTCACATGAGTGCCCAGGGTGCCAGCACAAACTGTTTCACCCCTTGGCAGGCTGAGGGATGGTGAGAAGCCAGACGAGGATGTCCCCTAGGGATGAGGAGCTGCAGGGCTCTGGAGAAGGCTGCTTCTGTCACCCCTGCACCGTGTGCTAGATGGGCCAGCAGACACCAAAATCAAATGCTGCTCGTAGATGGCTGCTTGGCAAGTAACCCAAATCCTCTACAGCCAGGTAACTATAGCAAAAAGGCAGGTGGTGTTCCCAAACACAGTCCTCACAGAGAAGCCATGTTGCTTCCCTCATCAAAGAGAAGCAAAGCATACCAGGAGGAAGCAACACAAGAAGGATTAAAACACAGAGAAAACAGGAATCACTGGTTCACTGACAAAAATGTGTGGTTTATTCCCACTCCCTTGCCAGTGAAGTGCAAGACATCCTGACACAACCATATTTACAGGAGGCTTCAGGAAGCTTCTATATATTTGTCTCCTGATAGCAGAGATATCCCTGAAATACTAGTTAATTCCATTAGCATGTTATAATCATTAGCCTTTCCATAAACCAATCAAAATAAAAAATATACTTTTAATCTACCTTCATCTTTCTTCCAGGCTAGACTGTCTTTTCCCGGCTGTCTTCTGTTCCCGGCTGTCCCCTTCTGTTCCTTCTTCCAGGCTAGACTGTCTTTTCCCGGTTGTCTTCTGTTCCCTTCCCCTTTCCCGAAAAACTCATTCTTCCCTCCAGATCTTCCCCTCTAGGCTTTACTAATCCCATTTTTTTTCTTCCTGTGCTGATGTCCTGGATTTTATCCTTTCTCTCCTTATCCCATATACTGGTGTCACAGATGACAAATTGTTAATTTAGCTGCTTTTCACCCAGCTTGCTTAATCCCACAGAGACACCCAGCATTCCTACACCTATACCCTTCCTCTATCTTCTAGCACTCCAACCACTTCTTTCTTCCACATTTCTTCCCCTTCTCACCCGCTCCCTTCCATCCCCAAATCTTTTTTACCTCTTTAGAGGTTTAGGTTTCTGATCTGAGGGTACTGCAGCTACTGTGAGCAGAGATTAGAGAATATTCTGATGACCCAAAGGGCTGTGGAAAGGAAAGCTTGTATGATAACCACGCTGCTCCAGACAGCTCCTGACTGCTGCACTGAGGTGGGGCAAAAGCAGCAATAAATAAAACAGGCAGGCAGACGATGGGGTGGGGTATGGTCTGAAGAAGCCACAAATTGCTTTCCTGGGATAAAAAGAATGTAATGGCCAGTGGCAACATATGTTATGCAGCTAGCAGATAATCACCAAGGCTGTAAAATGCCCAAAGCTTTCAGAAGAACCACCAGGCAGTTGTGGACACTCCTGACTCGAGTTTTGACATGTAAAATAAAAACAACATTAGCATTACTAGATAAAAAGGGGAACGTTTCACTCACTTTCACTATAGTCACATATTCCATTTCTACTTCTGTTTTTCCTCTACTTCTTGTTCTTCTATGCTCTTTAAAACAAAACCAAGGATCATTTCAATTTGAGATGATTAACAGTTACTCTAAGCTGAAATGACATAATTCTGTGCATTACAGTAACATAACATCTCTTTAATCTATGCGCTTAATAAAAAACAAAAGATCACTTCATGCTTTTGTGTACTGGCTCATTAATTTTTGGCTACTTGGCAGGAACATGTTAGGCAGAGAAACCAGTCTATTTATTACAACCCGTCCCTCTGTATTAAGATAGCACAATATTTCAACTGTGTTATGTGAGAGATTTGAGTTTAGCTGAAGTTGGAGCTCAGGAACAACACAAGAAGTGACACCCTTTTTTTCCAGAGAGGGGAAGGAAGGATGTTTCTGAAGGAAAATGAGCGTAAGCCATGCCACGTGAAGTCTGTCTATAATGACACGTCTCAGACTAGGCCTCAGACTAGGCCTGCACTCAGGCCTAGTCGCATTAAGTCAGTGCAGATGGACAGAAAATTTCCAAGGACAACACCAGGGGCTTACAAAAGTGGTGCTGCTGCATCACGAGATGGCCGATTCCCTTTGCGTCAGGCGTGCGTGAGCGCCTGAGCGGGAAGAGCTGCTGGACACAGCGTTGCTGGGGATGCTCCTGCTGCCCCCTTGCCTTCCTCCTGGAGCTGAAACTTCTGCTTGATAGTCTGAAAGAGCGGCAGGAGTTTCACGTGGTCCTGTCAGCCTAGGAGACCCTGAAGTGCTGCACTATCCAGCGCCGACTCGCACCTTAAGTTAAACTCTCTTAAAGAGGTGTAATGCTGGAGATACTCCAGCAGCAACCAAAAGGTCCCAAGGTTTTTAGCTTTTCTAGAAAATGGCTATAAAATTATAGAGCTAACTATAAAGAAGGGTGACTTTTTGGTTCTTCCTAAGTGCAGCATTCAATCGAAATTACCATGACATTTTCAAGTAGTTGCAGCACTTCTCATTCTCTGTTGTGCTAAATTATTGTGCTGTCTTGTTTTAGTCTAAAATAAAATGTTATTTCTATACTAAGAGATTTACTGCTTCATATGAGTAAGTAACTGCCTGAGTATATTGCGGGGCTTGGTTCTGCTTGGACAAGTTAAATAATTGCTGTTTTATGAACAGTTGGTGCCTCTAAAGTCTTGATACTTCTATGTCATGTACTTTATACTCCACCATATATTAAAAGTGGTGAGTACCAAATATACTATTGTATTTACAATGTCCAAGAGCTAGAATTATAACTGCAGCTAATGTAATATAGTGGTATTAGGTCAGACTCAGCCCTGCAATAATTGCATGCAAGTTCATTAAGGTCATTTGTACTTCCATCTTAGCTCTTGGCTGTCAGGTTTGCTATAAATGAAACTGAAAGCTGAAACCTTTAAAAAGAAACAAAACAATAGCACAAATAATGTTTTCTGGTTCAATGTCTTAAGTAGCTTAATAATTGAAGCAGTGCATTTAATTTTCCAAGAAAACACTTCCTCTCAAAGCTTTTTTTTGTAAATTGAATATAATTATTGACTCACTTCCTTGGTAATGGTAAAGAAGCAGAATGATATATTTGAGCACTGTGTCCTCATTTTACATTCATACAGATTCATAAATGTCTTATAATTGAATCACAATGGCAGGCAAAAATGGTAACAGCTAACTTAAAGTGGCTGGATTTGGTTGAAGTTCGATGCAAGGGAATTTAGGCCATCTTCTGTGTTGCTATGAATTAATGAAACCATTCTATCAATTTTCTCCTTGAACTCCTTCTCACCTTGGTAGCAGTGGGCTGTAAAACTACTGCATTAGCACTGACACAAACAGTGTTGTAAGATACATGTTGGGAATGAGACAGTCAGGAAATGGGTGCCAGTGATAGTGGTAGCTTGCACCATTTTGACATGCAAAATGAATCTAAAATATTAGCTGAGGAAGCAGAAGGTGACAGTTTGTAGCAGAAAAAAGTATAGCAGAAAGAAGGTGAAACGCAAAGTGAAAAAATAAAACCGCCTTGTTTTGCACACTTCCTTGTCACTTCTCCTGATGCACTTCATTTTTCTGTCCCTTTGCTCTGTACAATTCACTGTTTTTTGTGTTCCCACTGACGGACAGATCAGGTAAAGTGCCTTACTTATACAGGCCATTTATGGAACAAGACTCCATGTATATCTGCAGCACACAAACATTTTGTTATTGTGCATGTTGGCATAGTTACGTCAATGAGGCTCGTACCTACTAAAGCCAGGTTAGGATTTGACTAGAAATTCCCCTAAAACCAATCGTGGAGAACACTAATAAGCCTCCTCTTGCTCACTTCCTTATTTTGTCTAACACTCTTGCTTTTTTCTCCTTATGACACCATTTTTAGCCAGCCTCCCTGTTAAGGAAACATTTGTATTTGTGAAAATGTGCATCTCCTTTGCATGCAGGTGATTGCAGGCATGTACGGGTTAGTGCTCACACACCAGGATTTTGGCGTGCAGAGTAGGCACACATTTGCCACTGTGCAGATTTTACCTACCTGCAGGGCAAACATCGGGATCAAAGAAGTAAACATTTCAAAAAAGCAACATCCATAATGATAGCAAAACAACTCTACTTAACCAAGCTGAGGATTTTGCCTTTGATTATTTAACAAGTATTCAAAACACAGTCCACTAAATGTAACAGAGATATCTGGATAGCATGAATTCCACAAAATTCCACAATTATAAGTTTATAACTCTTTTGTTGTAAGGAAGGTACACATCATTCAAATCCTAGTTTATGTACTTTTTAATAATACAGTCTGTGCGTTTGCACCACTAGGATTCTCTCAATCCAAATGACATTAGTGTAGCAGACGTATATCACGTATTACACATACATATTTACCACAGACTGCTCGTTAGTTATGAAGCTCCAGTATTGACTTGCAGCGTAAGCAGGAGAAAGCCAGACTGAAAAACATGTATTAAAACAAACATTGAATTTGAAGCTGTTTCTCATTCTGATGATCGGGATTGTATTGGCTGCAATTACATGATGCTGGTTTCAATTCCCCAAGCAACCTCCTGCTTCCAGTGTGAGAATTATCTTTCTGTATGTACAGACGTCGTGTGAAGTAGCTTTTTGTGAAAACTTTGATGGGTAGATAATGCTACGCAGACACAGTGTGTGCTTTCCCAAATCATAACTAAGCAGCCAAATAATGATTTCATTTGTTAATGCTGGGACAATATCCTAGAGAGAAGACGCATGTGGGAACTAGATGGTGGAAGAATACTAATGATGGGGAACTGTTAAAACATGATCTGCTATTCACAGTCAACATGTAAGGGTGTTTTCCCAGAAGTTTTCTGGAGACATCTTCTAAAACAGAAAGCCCAGAAATAACTCAGTGCAAGTTTAAGATTTTAGATTACTAAACTGAACATAGTCTGTTTTATCTGATAATCCTGAATGCATCCTCGCTTGTACAAAGGATCTCAAAAAAAATGGTGCATTTATATTTCTGGTTTCTAAGCTGTCAGGAGTCGTGCTGTCTTTTCATTTATTGTGACATGACTATAAAGAAATTCTGCCTTATTCAGTTTAGATTTATATTCTTGCAAGTCTGTAGAAATGTAGCCAGAATCTGGTCATGCACTGCAATAAATTGTGCTGATCTTAAACCCCAAATCAAATGCTGTTAATGTGAATGCATTCTTCTTGACAATTATCTTTTATGAACATTTTAAAATATGATGAAGAAAAATGTATTATATTAGGGGAAATAAAAAGACAATACTGCTTACCCACAAGGGCTGTCATAGCACTCCTGTTAGTTCTAATAAAAGTTACCCTTTTCTCAGTTATTCAGCTGGCAACTTAGATGTGTTGCTATTGGCTCTGCCTCTGGCTTACACCTACATTATTTTCATAGACCACAGGAACACAAAACCACTATATTAAAGAAAGAAGAAATGATTTTCAAAAGCGCCTTGCATGCAAATTGAAAGGTTTTAAGTCAATGGTGCAACCCAAGTGACTTCAGATTTTTAGAAAAAAAAAAAACCATCCCAGCCTAGTGTCTGCTCCCTGTACATCTGTACTGTAACATGTCTATCAATGTTCATTGGTTGGCAATATGAGGAACACACTTCTGCTGAAGCCTTGGCCTGCTGACTAAGATGCAAGCACTGCTCACTAGCCACTAAATTGGGGAAAAAATAATGTACCACTTGGAACAGAGCAGATACTGTTTGTTAGTATCCATTTGTTAGTCCCTCCATGGTTGTTAGTCCACCACTGGGCCAAGCAAACTTGTCTTGGGCTTTATGGAAGCTCTAGTCTACATTATTATTAAATCATTATTCCTTTAAAATTTGTTTGCAGATGTGCTGTTGAGTTCATCTTCAAACAGATGTGTTTTGAATAAGATCATCCTTTATGCAGACATCAGAAGAATGAATTTGCAAAACAAAAGCTTGAATTGTGAAACAAAAAAATAAAGGGAAAGGACGATAAGGGAAGAGAGGATAACGGGCATGCTTTCCCATGGATGTTATCTACAGCAAAGTTGTACAAACAGACACTTAGGACAAGACCTAGCTTGCGGTAACACAGAAACAGTACAGAACACTTAAGAGTAGCAATCTGTAACCTTATACTAAAAGAGACTGTGAAACTCTGATCTCACTCCATGAAAACATATTATCATTAATTAATCAGATTGCATGTCAATGAAAATCACTAGTTCAACAATAGTATAAGTGAAATCAATCTCTTTGCAATTTCACACTTAGGTTTTACATACATAATCCAACCGCAGCAAGAATAGTCTTAATAATAATCTGTCTGATTTCTCTTCCTGGACAAGAAAAGTAGCTTTCTACTCCTGCTTCTTGATGATTATACCATTAAAAAATAAATTACTATTATCTAACAATTCCATAAAGGGCAAAAGATGAAGTCTGTATTTTTTTTTCAATTAAAAACATCACAAATCTCCTTTCAAGATCCAAGCAAAACGGAAATTCTGCATGTACAAAACCCCGTGTCACTTCTCCCATCTGTAGAAGAACATTTATTAACTTGCAAGCTAAACAAAGATCAAGGAGATGTCATTTATTTCTCAGAAGTATACTTCCATTAATATAATAAATGAAAGTCATATATGTAAAATCCAATGCAGGATTTTTACTCAGCAGTGTATCTTTCCTACAGGGCTCTTGTTCATCTGGTTAAGCAAGAACGGTTAATGTAATGTGGCAATGAGATCAGTAAGACTCTGTGAATGTCTCAGTGGACACTTTTAAATGAAAGTCTCAAGGTCTTACTCATTTAGGACATGGTCTTGCTCCACTGAAGTCAATCTGAATTTCGCTATTGATATCAGTTAGAGTAAATTAAAGTTCACTGCTCATTCCACAGATGTATTTGGCATATTACCATAGTCTGAAAGGTAATCAGGCAACGCCTATGAATCAACTACTTATCAGCAAAAGTCAAAATTACTTTAAAAAATTGAAAAAATGCTAAGGAAGTTGGCATTACTATCGCTAGTCCAGAACAATAGCTTGATGAGGTATTCTTTCTGGGTTACAAAAAGGGAGATCCAACCCTGCCAATGAAAGGGAAATAGTGACTTAAAGAGACTGATTCTCATTGAGAGTGGGATAAGCAAAGGATAGAAATTGAGCCATATATTATATTTTTA